CCCCCCCCCTCTTACAAACGTACACACAAACACAAGCAAGTTTACCAGCCGTCACATTCCGCCCTTTCCCCTCAAATGTCGTGACAGTCTCTGGTTACTAATTCCTCTCTATGTATTCATCATTGCAAGTAGATCTTAGGCCTAGGAGATATTGGCGAGCTACCTGTCAGGAGGCCAGAGAACAGACCTCAGAATAGAGGCGATGCATCGTGATAAAATCAGGCGCTCGTCAAAACAATGAAATCGACGAAACCGGCATTTTTCCCGTTGGTTAGTCAATTTTTATCGACCTTTTTGCTTTCGGTACAACACCTTTTAAGTCCATTTAAGAACACCTTTCTATGTAGATATCAATTGGGAAACGCTGATTGAAAGCACGCAAAATTGCAATTTTTCAGTGTCCAAGGACTCTCATGCTATGAAAGTGTCCACACTTTGAGGGCCATTTTCTCTCTAATGTTAGATCTTTTTTCTAAAACTGGAACCCCCACCACCTGTGATTGTAAATTTATATCTATATTTCTTTTCAAGACAGACTGACATTTTCTTCATCGAAAACGAGACAAACGAACAATTTTAAGACAATGCTAATGACTCCACGTGCCCCCCAAAAAACCCAAAAAACAACCGACGAGCGCCTGGTTCCACCGTGTCCTTACACAAAGAATACCGTCTCACCTCCTGACATGGGAGCTGCATGTTTAAATAATTCATGTGTCCGAGACTTTTTCCGCGTGCAGAGTGCATACAGGGCGGTATTTCCTGTCATATTTACGCCGAAAATATGCATTTTTGTTGGTTACTGTGAGTGTAAGGGTGTGATAGACAAGGATCGTAGCATAAGCATTCAATTAATCTCAGTTAATCTGCACCCCCCCCCCCCCCATGCAAAAAAGACAAACCAAAAACACAAACGACAGAAGCAACAGCAAAAATAAACACAACCCGTTGACGTCGATTCAACAGAAATAATGTCATACAAAAAGGAATGAATCAAGTATTTTAAAAGACTTGACTGCAGGGTACATTAATTTAATATAGATCTATATATGTATTATACGTTATACAAACCTTTCGGTACCATAGAACCACACTGTTCCATCGGCTCAGTACTTAGTTTTCTTGAGAAATTTGACTTGAAAAATGTTTAGTTTCATAACCTGTCAAGATTTTTCGAATGCAATTCTTTGATAATTTTCAGAACGAGTCCGAATAGTCTTACAAATTTGATAAAACAGATAAAACATGGTTTCTGGCCTCTTGGTTTTACAGTACCCCAAAACGGCAAAAAAATTAATGGCAGATAGAACTTAATACTTCTAAGGTAGCTATTCAGACCATACGAAGAGTAGTGGGTGTCTTCGGTACCAAAGATTCCCTATCAGATTGGGCTTATGATAGGAAGAGGGAGAGGGAGAGAAAGGAAGAGAGAGAGAGAGAGAGGGGGGGAGGGGAGAAAGAGAGAGAAAGCGAGAGAGAGAGAGAGAGAGAGAGAGAGAGAGAGAGAGAGAGAGAGAGAGAG